GTCTGGACTTCATCCACGTCTAGTCTTCCCTCCAATTCTATGGCTTTTTTGCGTGTTTGTGTGCATGTGCATCTTTATATGTGTGTGTCTGTGTGCGTGCAAGCTCAGCAGAGCGCACAAAGACCTGCACTGACATCAGACTCATTCACACAGTGTCCTCTGTCTACACTCACCCAAGAGGTGCTCTGTTTAAAAAGCCACCCCCCCCTCCAAAGGCACACTCAGTCCCAGTGATCTCTGAGTGACCACAACAATGTCGACACACATAAACTGGCCAAACTCGTTTTATGGTTTATTGACATGCGCGGACCACAAAGCGTCTATAAAGATAATTATTTTCTAGACTGACCACACACGCTGTGAAAAGACTGCCCTTGTGGTTCAAGCAGAACGAGTTATTATTTAGTGGTCCAGCTGACATATGATGACACCGTGATAAGAGATACATGCAAATGCTGGACTGGACTGAAGCGCCTTTCATTGCTTAATGAATTCAAATGGATAAACTCAAATACAGATCTGTGTGTGTGTGTGTGTGTGTGTGTGTGTGTGTGTGTGTGTGTGTGTGTGTGTGTGTGTGTGTGTGTGTGTGTGTGTGTGTGTGTGTGTGTGTGTGTGTGTGCCTTTGAATGTCTGCGCAAAAGTGGGCGAATAGGAGGTAGAAGGAGGCAGGGGAAGAGAGAAAGCTGGTCACATTCCAGCGTTTTGGTCACACTTTATTTTGCACACAGTGCAGACGAGCTTGAGCAAGAGAGGGAAGTTTAAAATGGCGTAAATGTGTACACTCACAGTGCGTGTTTTTTATTTTAACTCAGGAGCGCGCAACAGAGTCGCAGACTTACTCCGAGAGGTTATTTTGAGAAAAGCCAGAGGCTCGTCTTTGGGTTTGTGTTTCTTTCACCTTTATGCTTTCTTTTAGCATTCGGTCCTCACTGAAAACACAGCAGCACACAAAGCAGGAAGTGAACAGGAAGTGTGGATGGTCCAGAAGCAACCTTACAGGAAGTCATTCTGCAACAGCAGCGCACCATTAGAGAGTACAGATATACTTAAACAGAGCAAATTCATAAATAGACAGCTTGCACAACTCATTTCCAGATCACTGGCACATGTATGACCTAAATATTGTTGATCTATTAAACACATAAGCTAAACATGTAACAAATTCCTTCACACCTCTGATCATTTGCAAACAACATCATATGAGTCTATTATACACTTGATAGCAGACGTGTAGTTGTGTGACTGTTTGGCAACCAGGATTAAGAAGTGCAGCTTGGCAACCTCACTAACTTCTTTGTTCTGCAGACCTTTTTTGACCTCAGGGAGCTGCAATCTGTTTGTAAAGCCCCTGAATCCGCAGAGCCGGATTATTCAACAGGTTTTTCTGTGATAAACGGGGTGACGGACAAAACACCCAGCACGACTGATTTCTGCACATCACCGTGTCCGGGTCTCAGCTCATGTTCAGTTCAGACAGCAGACAGCTTCTTCAGTACACTTGCCAAAAAAAGCGCTCACAGTGCTATTAGGTTAGCTTGAAGGGTAACAACAACTTTGAAAACAACAACAACAAAAACAAAGAACATAAAATCACGTGCCCACAACCAGACAAGCATGAGGAGGAAGTGATGCACAGCTGCGGACGGCCAACTTGGGCGTGTGCTCTGTCATGTTTCCTGCTCCTCTCACCTCCCTCGAATCCAAACACGCCGACTACGAGCGACTTTACAGCCTCATCAACACAACAACACTGTTTATACGTTTCCCATTGCAGTGATCGGTGTGTGTGTGTAACTGTGTGTGGGAGTGGGAGATGAATGTCGTGACCAAGTGTAAGACTCCTGCCATGAGGAGATTACATTGCAGCACTACCCTGTGACCAGTAAATACAGTACTGTAGGCTTGTAACACACACATATGCACACACACTTTCCCACCAAACCCAGCTGTTTTAGCAACAACCCCCTTGGGAGGTTGTAACCCAGACACAGCCCGTGTGGCAAACTATTAACACACACAGGAAACAGGCGAGACTGGTAGCCGACACAGGACAAGCGTCCAACAACAAAACACCACCATTTTTTTTAAACTCCCATTTAAATCCTTTGTGTGTCAGCTGTGAGGGGCCACTTCCCCCACTCATATTCCCGCTGCTCTTGTTTTGTTTCAAAGCCGGTGGAGCACATTAATGGATTTATGAAGAACTTCTGTAGAGACGCCTTTTACACTGGCTGATCAGCACATCATAAGAGTCCAAGAGATAAAAGCTCATCTTTTTCTTTCCCCTCAGCTGAACTCTCATCGCCTTCTAGCCAAAACGGTCTGCGTCATAACTGTCCGCAACAACCCAGTCATCCACCTGTAGGGTTTGAAGGAACACTGAATATTTTATGCTTTTTTTCCCCCTATTCAGCCTCATTACTGTCATCACCCCAGAACCACAAAACCATGAGGGGGAGGGGGGCAGTCGAGTTCAAATTAGACAGAAAGCAGAGCCTTAAGGTGAGAACATGGAGTAACAATCAAAAGATCAGGAGGCACAACAGCATTAAACAGATTTGTCTTTGAGTCTATTTCTACCAAGCTACGGGGGCTGACTTAGCACTTCAGCAGCGGGCGAGTCACTTGATTTCTGAAATGAGTAAATGGCAGGGAGCCGCACAGAGGGCAACGGCGGGGGACAGAGATCGATATGCAAATGGAAATTTACACACCGCTCACCAAACACGCATGCAAGGGTGCAAAAGCTGAACTATTGGCGGGCCACTCTCACTCAGAGTCTGTCCTGACGTAAAGCTTTCAACCGGGGGTGCAAAATGCAACACTCAACATAAAACCAGCGAGAGTGGGAGCCTGAACTTAAGTGCATGTGTGTGTGTGAAGGTGATGGTGAGTGTGTCTACTTATCTACTGATTATAGCCTGCTTGCACTCGACTGAGCCGATACTGTAAATGGATGCAGCTGGATAAAGACGCAAAAGCCAGGCCGGGGGCAATTTAACAACAACTGTTTAGGAGGGAATTACAGTAGATGCATCTGATCATGTCTGCAATGCAGATCCACTGACTCAAGCGTGCGTACGGATCCAGGATTGTAGGATTGTAGGTCGTTCAGGAATTGGATGCTGGCAACACGAGACTGAGTATGCGTTCATTGGCCTTCACGTCAACCCCGTTGCCCTCGTAATGTACATTCGCACATGCAGATGCAGACATAAGCTCTGAGCCAAGGGCATTGCATGATGGGAGCAATTAAACGGCGTCCCCTCTTATCAAAGGCCCTCTTCTCTGGGAATAAAAGAGGCTTGGAGGTCATTGGGAAAAAGTAACTGCTTATTCAGCAGGAAGTTATCTTTTTCCATGTGTTTATTTGCAAGCTTCCCATTTCCTGTCAAACACACACACACACACACACACACACACACACACACACACACACAGATCACATGTGATGAAAAGGAGCAGCATCGGCTCACCCAGCAGAGTAATTACATGTTACTACTTAGCCCCTGTTTAATTACAGCAAGACTTTCACGCTAATAAAACTAATTCCGAGGTACTCTCGCGAAGATAATGCTCCTCTGCTGATCTGACCTTCCTTACTGAACAAAGAAATGAAAACCTGTTCACAAACTGATGATAACGTCAAAAAGTAAATTAAAAAAAGGAGCAAGAGGGAGCTAAAGGCAGACGTGTTAGTCACTGAGTCATTTACACATCAACAGGCCTCTTGGCTGGTCTCTCTTTCGCTAAATTCAGTTCAGCGACAGCCACCAGCGGCCTATACGGCTTCCCTTTTCACCTTTTTTCTGTCAGCACCACCTACTCCACTTCCTGTTACAGTTGTCACAGCGAATGAGCACAAAGGAGATTCACTCTGTGGCTGACAATGAGGCAGCTGATAAAGCCTTCCCCTGGGGAAATGGGGCCAGTGTTTTTAAAGTTCATCTTAAAAGCCTGCTTTGCTGGACCAACTCCCCACCCCCATTCTCAACCCCCACCCCACTCAGATCAATTATTGGAACCAGGATTGGGATGTGAGGACCTCAAATGGGTGCTTTATGAAGCATAGTTATGTTTGTGTAGTTTGTTTTATGTGTAGATTGAAAGCCAGTTACGCAGTACTGCCAAAAGGCGGTCGCTCGCTAATGTGACAGTCTGTGTGGCTCTGAGTTAATTGGGGGTCTGTGGGGTCTGTCAGACCACCGCCACAGCTTTGCACACTGTAAAATGAGCATGATTACAGATGAGGTTTTAGAGCACTTTTTATGCTCACTTCTTATGATCAAATTTTATTTTGGGATTTTTTGCTCACACACATGCAGAAAACTGTCTCCTCTCACCAATTCAAGAGCTGCTGTGCTCCCCAATCCAACAAAGGCAGTGAATGTCACAGCTCTGAAGGAGAGATTCTCTTTGTGCTCGATTCATTTGCTGCAGGACACTTTTTTGTGTTCTTAAGCACAACAATGCTCCTGCTTTTTAACCTAGTTATTGACCTGACTCCGTCATGCATATGTAAGCTGTTGACTAGGCATGGTTATAGATGCAGGTAGGTGCATGTAAGAATAATATCAGCAAAAATTGGTTAGGAGAGAAACGCCCATTCTCCTCCCTGCACCTGGCTGCAGCTGTCCTTGTCACTTCACCCAATGTTAAATCATGAATGTAAGACGCTGTGTGCAGAACTTGTGCATACAAACGTATACACACAACACCACCACCACATGAGAACAGTTATATACGGATATAGCGTGAAACAAACGCGTGCTTTTGCCTTGTCGATACTGTGCAGAGCGCCGCCCAAGTAAAATAAGGTGGAATGGTATTCTCCGTGGCTGTGTAATCTCCTGAATCCCAGAAATGGACGGAGACATCGGGGAGCGTGGAAAACTGTAGGTGTGCATGATGCATTTCATTAATCGCCGGGAGGCACAGACACAAGCGTGCTCTGCTAAGGTCTGCAGATTTCCAGCAGACAGACGTCGGAGGCTTACCTCAACGCAACCTTCACACAGCAGTCTCCCTGGCTCCCCATGGCTGCTTTCAAGGTTCACGGGTGAAATATTTCGGGTAATGTTGTGTTTTCAGTGCTCGTAAACCGTGCGCTGCTGCTGCGGCCGTGGCGTGGAGGTGGGGGTCTCCGGTCAGCGGGAGCAGCCGTCAAGACCTGCCGGGGGTGAGGTGCCTCATCTGGACTCCTGTCCTCTTCTTCTCCTGTGCCGTGGCGGTCATCGCTGTCTCTCTGGCGTGTGTCACATCGCAGTGCTTAACCCGCTCTTTTTTTTTCTTTCGCTTTTTTCTCTCCGTGGTCTAGCTCAGTCGCTACATCCTGTTTAAAGTGCCTGTGAGGGAAGCATACGAGCGTCTCTCTGCAGCCACACCGCTTCTCTGAGCGAGCACGCTGAGTGAGCGCTGAGAACTGGAGGAGGTGGCGCCACCTTCACTGACGCTTGGAAATGTTCAATTCGCCACTGAACCTTTAATACCAGTGTCTCCCTGCTCCCCGATCACTGCCCCACTCTAATGTAGTATACACATTTGTGTAGGATGAGTTTTACTCATAAATAGTGAATAATTTATTAATTAAATCAATAACTTACTATTAACTTTCACTACATTCAATAATCAGTGACGAAGATGATGTGATACCTTTTCAACATAAAATGATATAACTTTATATTAAATATTTATAATATGATATCATATAATATAATATATCTGTGTTCTACTATTCAAAACTATAATATCCTAGAATAGAATAGAATAGAATAGAATAGAATAGAATAAAATAGAATATGTCTATTCTATACTCTGTTATTCATTATAGTATTCTATGCTATACTATAGCATAGTAATATATACACATATACTCTATTATGCTATGCTATTTTTTATATGCTATCCTATATATAGGATAAGATTAGGAGTTAGTCTATACTGTACACCTATATATAGGTGTGTGTGTGTGTGTGTGTGTATGTATGTGTGTGTGTGTGTGTGTGTGTGTGTGTATATATACAGTACACACACACACACACACACCTATATATAGGTGTGTGTGTGTGTGTGTGTGTGTGTGTGTGTATATACAGTACACACACACACATATATATATATATATATATATATATATATGTGTGTGTGTGTGTGTGTGTGTGTGTGTGTGTGTGTGTGTGTACTGTTAGAACAACTCTACTATTCAATACTACACACTACAGTATATTAGACTGAAATGTCTTCTGATATACTGTACTATAATCCAGTCCTGTACTATACCATGCAACACTATATATCCATCCATCTCTTTTTCTACTTATTCAATTCAGGGTGACGGGGCAGTTGGAGCCTATCACATGACAAAGCATATTACACCCTGGACAGGTCACTAATCTTTGACTTGCCAACACATAGCTGCAGATTTGAATCCAGGACCTTCTTAATATGAGGCGACAGCGCTCACCACTGTCTGACCCCAATGCTATACAAGCCTGCCTTAAACAATAAGCATGGTTGCTTTTGTGACTGATGCATGCATATGGGCCCACATCAAACAGCAGTGGCCAGATCTCCCCCAGAGGCTGACTGCCTGAGAGGCATGCTTTGGCATACCTTAAACAGAGGGTTCTTTCTTTCAAATGCCAAAATACTTGGTGTTAAACTATCTATATCTCAAACTAACCACAATACGATAAGATAATATCTAATTGTAATTCATAAAATGAAGCATTTGGACGGTAACTAAACAACAACAATAACTACGGTCGCTTTTCTGCATTGCACTTGGTAAAAATAAATACGAGGAGTCCTTGAAAGCAGCCTAATCGTATTGATTGGCGTGCAGCTGGACCAACTAGTAAAAATCTCACACTGTTTCTTAAAAATCCCAGACCAATCATCGAGGAGAACAGACCGATTAGCCCCACCCAGTGACACACCTCTCCTGCTGTAAAGATTACACATCTACAGCCATAACTGCGAGCGGTGACATCTGAAGTCCGTTAAAATGCCATAAACAGAGGGAGACTTTTCACATGAGCAGAGGAGGGGCCACCGGTCTGAACACCTTTGAGGTCAAACTTCAAATTCGAAAGTTATCGTATTATTGCTAAGACTCGGAGTTCATTGGCCCTGGCTTGGATGGGAAGTCAGACTCCGCTCTCTTTGTGCTGAATCACATTTCTTCAAAAGGGGAAACTGAAATCCTTTCCCTTTAGTTGAGTCAAACAAACAAGAAGATCTGTTGCCAGTCTTCCTCAATTTCTTTCTCCCTTTCTTCACGTATACACAGAGCCTTCTTTCTTTCTATATGTTATTTATCTTGATCTATTTATGGAGGTACAGTTTTCTCTGACATCCTCTACATTTAAGTTTCTGCTTCACTGTTTTAAATAATCTATGCAAAGTGAATGCACCACAGTGCCACTACACTGTCATAGTTGTTGGCAGCGTTTATACTGGCACATCAAATCTACACTACAGCCTTTCCAAATACTCATCCCCCTCATTACCCATGCCTCATGTACCAAAGATGTGAACAGAACAAAACTGATGAGTTTGCCAGTGACACACTCACGTCTGCACTACAGCAAGTTGCTTTTCCCTTTTCCAACACGCTTGCGAGCTCACTGTGTCACACCGCCAGACAGATGCTGCTTTATCTATACATTTTGATTAAATTAGAATTCCTAGTGTGAGGTTCTGGGACTATCTCAATACTGATCAGCATAAACATTTCTCCCTCTCTCTGCACCAGCACTGATGACAATCACTTTTATGTTATGAAACAGAGCCTGCACACAGTTGCATGCACTGTAAACCTATTCAGTGCAAAGAGGAGCTTATGACTATGTGCGAGTGTGTGTGTGTGTGTGTGTGTTGGTGCCTGGGGGCCAGGTGGTGGTGGTTGGGGCTGCTGGATTCCATGCAAGATTATGAGGATAGCTAAAATCCTCCTAGATCTGCTGGTTACCAGCCACTAGCCGCCACAACTGGAACAACATAACACAGCAGTAAGGGTGGTGCATACAAACACACACTGGTGAACCAGAGACCACGCCATAATTAGCTTGCACTGTTTTCCTAAGCGTTTGTTTAAGTCCTTTCACTCCTTTTCCGACCTGTTTACAGTTTTCAAATCCGCTCTGGGTGATTCTTTCCCCTGCACTGCCTCCTCTTCAGCGCTTCCAGGGTAAAAAAGAACATTTCATAACCATCCTCTGTGGGTTATAAGACCCTGAAGATATTTTGCCACACTGCAGCATAATCCCTATATTTAGGGAGGTATACAATCAAAATAATTACATAAGCGGCATTAAAATACAATTGTTCAAGTCGCCTTTGGGTTTTGTCAGTCACGGTGAAGTCAGCACCAGCTCAGATTTAACACTTTGCTTTTTCGTGACCCACACACATTCATGCACATCATCCTCATTACGGGAGCTTATGGTAATGTCCTGGGCTGAAAAGATAAAGATGAGTCATGACTTTCTTTTTGCAGCAATCTTTTTGTGGCTATTTTCAAATGTTGAATGGGCAATATAAACTGGAAATCAGCCGTGATATAGTGGAACATGATATAAAAGACTTTTCCAGAGTTACCATATACCTGTACAGTGCTGTGAAAAAGCGGAAAAACTAATTCTGCCTTGAGAAATTCAGTGTGCCAGACCTGCTGAATCAAGAAATCACTTAAATAGAAGCTGTCTGACAAAGAGAAGTAGGCTGAAAGATCTCAAAAATCAACACATTGCGCCAAAATCTCAAGTCATTGGCATCTGTCAGTCTGGGAAGGGTTACAAAGCAATTTCTAAGGCAGTGAACCACAGTAAGAGTGCATCGACGACTCATCCAGGAGTTCACAAAAAACCCAGAACAACATTTAAAGTACCTCACACTTCACTCGTCTCAGTTAAGGTCATGTTCATGATTCATGATAAGAAAGTAAGCAACTGGGCAAAAATGGCATTGTGAGAGAGCTCCAAGGAGAAAACCACTGCTGACCAAAAACAACACAAAGGCTCGTCTCACATTTGCCAAAAAACATTTTGATGATCTCCAAGACTTTGGGGAAAATATTGTGAAGAATGATGACACAAAAGTTAAACCTTTCGGAAGGTTTGAGTCCCATTGCATCTGGTGTAAAACTAACACGGCACATTTGCAGTTCTTGCTGGGAATGGTGGCACAACCAGTTTTTGGTTTTAGGGCCCAATTACTTTATGACACAGGGCCAGGTAGGTTTGGTTCACTTTTTTTCCTTAATAAATGAAATCATAATTTAAAAACTGATTTTTGTATCTACTCAGGTTATTTTTGTTTAATATTAAAACTTATTTGATGATCTGAAACACATAAGTGTGACAAATATGCAAAAAAAAAAACCCTTAGAAATCAAGAAGAGCTTGAAGCTAAATACTTTTTATATTCACTATACTGTGTGAAACGCAGTAATTAATATTATATAAAAGACAAAGTTAAAACCAAAATGCATTTAACGCCAGTGAAGTCCACACTTCTTGAACATCACATCTCCTCTGGTGAAAAAGACTGAAAAAGCACAAAGCTGAAACGGAGATAGAAGATGAAACTGCACCCTGATGTACTCTCCATCTTTATTCTTACACTTTGATGTGTCTATAATCCCTCACATTCTATATTTGGCTTTGAAGCTCCATAAGCTAATCCCCCCCTTTTTTTTAAACCGTAACAAAACTGCTTGAATTGGCCAGGATTACGCAAACGCACATTTGACGACTCACTGGCTGGCACAGAAAGAGATGCGCTGTGAAAATAAGAAGTCGGGCCGTTGTATTATATACATAGTAGTTGAAATTTTGCCTTCTTACATGCGCTTCACTTCAACTTGAAGCACCTAGATTTCCATGGATGTTTAACGGTGCCTGTGTTTTATGCAGATGTGCAACAGAGGAGCTGCATATGTGCTTTAGATTTATGTGTGTCAGCTGCAGTGGCACACAGCAGAGCGGGCCCTTTGCCAGTTCTTGGCAGTGCAAAACTCCCACAGTGATTTGTCTCACCATCCGAATGAGCGTGACCGATAGAGGTAATGTAAGAATGTGTTTACTCTCAGCAGAGCAATGTTAAAAACACTTGATTTTACTGCAAGGCCTGATTTTGATCATGTGTTTATTACATAAGTAAGAACTTTTATGGCTTAAAAAAACTAATAAAAAATGAAAGCGCGCTGAAGTGCCAAAAATTGCAGTTCCTCGAATGCTACCCGAGGGTGACTCTTAAACTGAGTCAGTTCCTTTAGAGTTCCAAGTGTTCAGTTTTACAGGATGTATAAACATGTTTGGAGCAAAAACAAATGCCTTTGCTCACCACTGACTAGTCCATAACAGGGGCACAGGAGTGAAGTTTTATTGCTCACTTATTTAAA